AAAAAAAAAAAAAGGGTGAGGGTCAATCAAGTTCAGCCTGGTTTGATAATGGGGGTGGGAATACATGGCCAGGAGATGGGAATGAACCTGGCAGGTTCTGGAACAAGGAGAGGCCGAGGTCACTAGAGCCTAGGGGAAAGATTTCTCTCTGGGGCCCCAGGGAACCCTGAAAGATTGTATTTTTCTTTGTTGTTGTTATTATCATTATTATTATTGTTGTTTGTTTTGCAGTTTTTGGCCAGGGCTGGGTTTGAACTCGCCACCTCTGGCATATGGGGCTGGCGCCCTACTCCTTTGAGCCACTGGCGCACTCCATCATTATTATTATTATTATTGAGACAGAATCTCCAGCTGTAGCCCTGGATAAAGTACCGTGGCATCATAGCTCACAGCAACCTCCAACTCTAGGGCTCATGATCCTCTTGTCTCAGTTCTTCTATTATAAGTAGAGACAGGGTCTTGCTTTTGCTCAGGTTGGTCTGGAATTCGTGAGCTCAAGCTATCCACCCACCTAAGCCTCCCAGAGTGCTAGGATTACAGGAGTGAGCCACCACGCTTGGCCATTTATTACTACTTTTGTCCTCAAATGCTGAAGAGCCCCTAGCCACGGAGGTAACTTTTGACCAAAATGTAGACGCACACTACTATGAACTAGAAAGCCAGATCTAGCCTAAGTTTTTCAAACTCAGATTTAAATTCCATTTTACAGATGAGGAAACGGAGGCTTCGGTTTTAAGGCACAGCTCAGGGGTTCCACTCGGGGGTTCGCTAACCGCGAACCAAAGTGAGCCTTGGTCTCCCCGCAATTAAAATGGGTCTATATAGTTCTCTCTGGGCCTCAGAGGCCCGCTCGCAACATTCAACACCCAGGACCGGCCCCAGGAACTCAGACACTACCAAGCCAAGAAGGCCGTGCGGGCGGCCACGCAAACCTAAGAGCACAACTCCCAAACCCACCCCTTTCGTATCTCTCGACCTCTTCTTGCTCAGAGAGTCCCACCTCCGCCGCAGAGAGCGGAGGGACCGCGCGACGAATGGCCAGGGACCCCGCCAATTAGGCTTTGGCGTTCTTCGATTGGCCACCTACGTTCACCTTATCTTTCAATCTCACCATCCTTTTCGTCTGCTTGCGTCACGGGGGGTGCGCTGAGATTCCGTGTTCCTCCGCGCGGTAAGATAGTTCCTCCCATGTCCCCGCGTCGTTGGCCAACGGTCCTCTCAAGGGCAACCCCACTCCTGGGCTCCGGTGGACTTCAGGGGTTCTCTCGCGGGTGTTCGGGAGGGTCGAGACGTGGGGCGGGGTGCAGGCGGCGTGAGCGCGGCGGAGGGATAGCTGGAGCCTCTGGGCGGGGCACGGGGCGGGGGGGGACGGGGGCGGGCCCGGAGCTGGGCGGGGCTGGGCCGGCTCGGGGCGCGGGTGGGGGGCGGAACATGTCTCCCGCCGCAGGAAGATGAGGCAGCGGCAGCGGCAGCGGCTGCTGGCGTAGCGGGCCGGAGCCGAGCCGGACCCGACTCGGGCGGCGGGTACCACGGTTACCGCGTACTCTGCTGTCCCATCATCCCGGTCGGCCGCGCGCGCACACGGGCCCCACTGGGCGGGGAAGGGGGCCCGGGCCACGCGCCGGCACCGCCGCCCACGCGCGACCCTCGGAGGCCCGGCCGCTATACCCTTTTGTCTGGGGGGCCTCGCTTCATGCTGCCGCTCCTAGCGCGCTGCGTGCCCAGCCGCGCCGAGCAGGTAACCGCTCCGGGAACCCTCAGGAAGCTGGGGGCACGCGCCGCGGAACCCCCGGCGCTTTGTGCAAAGTTGACCCCGGCCTTTCCCTGCGCCCGGAGGGGGGAACGTGGAGGAAGTAGGGGCGGGGGCTCTGAGAGGGGTGCGCCCCGGCGGGCGCGGGCGGCGGCCGTGGAGTCATTGTTCTCCAACTTTGCGCGGCGTTGGGGGGGGCCGGCGACGTGGAGGGGCCCAGCGCGCGCCGTCGCCCCTAGCCCCCGGTTGGGCAGCACCAGAGAAAGTTGGCGGACCCTTAGTCGGGGGCGTGGAGGACGCCACGCCGGCCGCCCAACTTTGTTGTTGGGACACCCCTACCCCGGGCGCGGGGGGTCTCGGGGAGCTCTCTCCGACCCGGGCGCCGGAGTTTGGGGGGGGGGGGAAGGAGGGAGAATCCTTTTGTCTACGCGGAGAAGGGGCCGCCGGGCAGATTGCGGTCCCGGGTTGGGGGGCCCGGGCTTGGGGGCCCGGTGGGGGGGGGGGCGCTGGGAGAACATCTGCTCCGCGTTAATGCGGGGAGAGGCGGTGGCGCGAGCTTCAAAGGGCTCCCAGGCGCTGCTGCCTGCACCGGCTGCAGGGGTTGGGGGGTGGGGTAGGGGTGGTTTCCCGGGCCTCCTCCTGCCCCTCCCCCACGAAAGAAAGACGCTTCGGGCTCCCCCACCCTCCACTCGAAGTGGTTTCAAACATTTTCCAAGTCGCAGAAGTCCTTGTGAAGACCCAGAAGTCTTTATGCTCACCTATAAGAACCCGAGTCGGCGCCCCCCCCTTCAACTCCAGTCTGTCTTAAAATCAGTTTCAGCAACCTGACAAAAAAGTGCGGTTTTGTACTCCTCAAAAAAGTCAGTTTCACACGTTCTCCAAAAATAAAAAAACTTTGCTGGGGACAGGGTGAACCGAGGGCACCCGTTTCATAGCGGGTCTCTGGTGGGCAAACAAAGAGTGGGGCTTCTCTGCTTCTGAACTTGGGTGCTGTCCTGCCTAGGGAATACTCAGCTTCCCTTCTGTGTCTTTGGGGAGGAGACTTGAATCACTTTTCTGGGAGTAGGATGGACCTAGCGGGTAGATCCCCTATCCTATAATGGAGTTTACCTGCTGCCATGGAAGGGGAACCCTGGTCTTGGGACTCCCTCCCTCAAGGGGCTGAAGGCAAAGGACGTTTTTAAAGTTACTTAATAATTCCTGGATACATTGTGACAATAAAACAACACCAGGTGTTTTTTTTTTTTTTTCTTTTCTGAACCTGGTTGAGTTTTTCTGGGGAGGGGGCAGGGAGGTTAAGAGTGAGGGAAACTTGGTAGGTCCCTGTGAAGGGACCCCCACGTTGAGCTGTAAAGCCAGGAAGGGGGCTTTGTGGCTTTTTGATTCCTGGATTTCTTTCGACTTGAATTTGGGGTGACTTCAATGTACTATGACAGCTTCTGGGGGTGGGGTGGATTACCAGATTTCCCGTTTTGTGGGGCTGTGCCATTATTCTTTCCCAGGGATGGGGCCAGTGGCAAAGCCTGGAGTGGTTGGAAGGGGAAATATGGAGAGAGGGGAGGCTCTGGCCATTCTGCATCCAGTTTAAAATTTGCAACTTGATTCCCTGATGGCTGCCAAAGGAATTGAGGGAACTTACACATTCTCCCCATTTTTCAAACTCCCTGAGGGGTCTACAGAGACCCAAACTCTGGAGTTCCAGCTTCCCTATCTGTTCCCCTTTAGCCTCATTTTTAAAGGATTCCCCACTCCTCATCTGTCTGCTAGGCTATAGTCTTTCAACCTGCTTTTTTCTGCTTCTTGTTTTCCATTTGTCTGTCCCTGCATCTGCCATGCAGGGCTGTTTCTAGGTCTGAGGTTCCCACTCTGGCCCCATTACCCACCATTGCTGCTGGAGAATGAACCAGCCTCAGAGGATGGCACCTGTGGGCACTGACAAAGAACTCAGTGACCTCCTAGACTTCAGCATGGTAAGCTTGGATCCTTTCTCCTCAGCCCAGGCTTGTACCCACCTCTTGGACATACCCTCCATTGCCAAAATAGTGAGACTTTTAAAGGGAAAGAAGTGGTCTTCTGAACATGTTCCCAGTGGACCCTCAGTCTGTTTGGGTGGGTGGTCTTCTGGGAGGAGCTGGGGGAGTTGAGGTCCTCTCCAGTGGGCAGGCTGACACCCACATTGCAGTGCATGCAGCCTTGGGGTTTTGCCCAGCCAAAGTGGGTATAGCCTGCTACTTAACAGATAGAGAAACTGGGGCCCAGAGAGTGAAGGACTGGCCTCTGCTTCTTTGTGGGGGGATAGGCCTTGGCCTTGACTGCTTAGCCTTAAGGCCTCAGCTTGCTGGGGTGAGCAAACTGGCCTTGACCTTCTAATCTGTAAAATGGGCGCAATCCAGATCATTTGCTTCATCAGGGGTGTAGACAAAATAAAGAGGAAGTGCCCGGTGCTAATCAGACCCATGCTGTGGGACCCTCCAGGAATGGGGCAGCCACATCCCGGCCCATACAGGGTTCCCTGTCTTGTGTGGGCAGAGGACACATAATAAACCTAATACCTCGATTAGTCACTTGCAAGGGCCAATGTGAAGAGGTAAGGTCACTAGGAGCCTGGGTGTGGCTGACCAGAGAGACCTTGTTAGGAGTCCTAGAACTGGGAGTGGGTGGATAGTGCCTGTCCTGGAGTAAGCAGTGTTACTACTGTTCAGGGTGGTGGTTGGGGAGAAGGAAGGCTCTGTGGGGAGGGCATATGCTCCCATGGTCTTCCAGTGTTGATCTACCTTTGAATGGCCCATTTTGCAGCCGGGCAGATGGAGGTACGGAGAGGGTGCTCCCAGAGGTCGCATAGCTCAGACAGGCTTAGTGAGGCCCCAAACCAGAGGCCCCCTTGGTTGCTGGAAAAGTTAAATGTCTTGGAGAACCAGGGGCCTCAGTTTGTCTACCTGTGCAGTGGGGCCACATGTTATAGGTGTTGGGGGGGGTTGTCAGTATTTCTCTGAAAAACCTAAGAATCTCGGTTTCTTTCTTCTGGCATAACTATGGATGAACTCTTAAATCCTGCCCACACCCCGTCCCCCATCCTTGGTAAGCACAATTTTTATTTGAAATAGGTCAGGGGAGGGCACTTTCAGTCTGAATTCATCCCCTGGTATGAAGCACAGGGCCCTGAGGTCTGCCAAAAAAACAAAAGTCCCCAAACTGAAACAACATCAGCCACTCTACGGAAAAACACAGCCCGAGGGACAGAGGGGCCACAGTTCCGGAAGGGCCATGCTGATATTTTTAAGCCCCATTTTATTTTTGCTTTCCTGGCTGAGTAACCAGGGGTGCAGTTTGGTTGTTTTTTTGTTAAACTGACAAGTCACAGACTATTGGGCTGGAACAGACCAGCTTTTGGGGAGTTGGAGGGGGCACAGGTTCAGCCCTGCAGGACTCAATCCCAAGCCCCTAGGTACTATCTTCCCCCGTCCAAGGTTGGAACCAGTAGCCCATTTCACAGATGAGGAAACTGAGGTGGAGAAGAAGGAAGGTGCTGGTCTTTCCAGAACTCTTTACACAGAGCAGTGTTTTTCCTCTCCTTGATGTCATAAGGAGGGGGGCTTGCCTGAGCACTCAGTCCACCACTGCCTTCATTCCTCCTCTGTGCTTTCTCAGCTGCCCTTGTGCCACCTGCCCCAGAGAAATTGAGTTGATTTATTTCTTTGAAAAAATTCCTTTTTGGGCAGAACAAGCAAACTTAAATCTTAAAGGGAACCACGTCTTTTGGCCACGAAGAGGTGATTTTTCAAAATAAATACAAAGAAAGAAAATGAAATCCTAGGATGTTAAATTCCTACCTCTTCCTGGCTCTATACATGTACTTTTTTTGTTAAAAAGACATTAAGGACCCGTAGTGGGCACTGGGCTCTGAGTGATAGGCCTCATGAAGGCATAAGGCAGTTCTGAGGCCTGGCAGGGTATGGTGTGAGGGTAAAAGAGGTGGGGAGTGAGTGCTGGTGGCAGGATGCAATTGTCACGGGACCCTAGCTAGCCGTGGTCAGCACCCTTTAGCCCCCTACCATGAGCAAGATGCCCATGTGCATTTGGGTTTCACAACAACCCACTTGGCCAAAGCCCTGAGTCCATTTCACATGGACAAGAAACTGAGGCTGTAAGGGATACAGGAGCCAGTCTGGGCTGGTCACGAGACTTGAAGAGCCTACAGGACGCGGTCTGGTGCTCCCTCTTTTAATAGGCGCCATATCACCATAGCCCCTGGTGTCCAACAGAACACCGCAAATAGAAACAGAAGCAACCCAAGTTCCTCTTGTGAGCTTGGCTAACCCCCAGGCCTAGGGTCCATTTGGTTCTGGTCCTGGCCTTAAGCCATCTCCCTCCCAAAGCAGGTCTTAGTTTCCTATGTAGGGAGAGTCAATCTGACCCCCTGACCATGGGGAGATTGGACCAGTTCCCATGGGACACAGAAGATGTGGTCTTGGGTGATAACCTGCCTCTAGCCAGCACCACACCTCCTTGGGAGCCTTTGTTTTATTTTCTGAGGCCAGATAAGAATATGGATTCAATTTCCCCTTCTGTAGAATGGAAGTGGGACCCCACTCCTGGGCATGGCCGGAAACACCCTGCCTTCACTCCCTGGCTGTCAGGATAGTCTCAGGGACTGTTGGGTAAACCCTGTCCAGCAGTCCCTTTCCCAACCACTTGAATCACTTGGGCCTCAGACAGGATCTTTAAACCCAGCCCCTTGGGGTAAAGCAGGGATGTGTTTTGTTTTTTCTGTGGCAAAAGGGTTTGTTGATGTTGGCTTTTTCCTGTTAATGCTGCTAATCTGTTTAATCTTTGGGGGCTTAGAGCCCTAGGTATGGGTGAACCAGAGGGAGGCGGTCCCATGCCTTAGCGCCTTAGGGCACTTCTGTATCAGCTGTGAGGCACACAGCCTACACCCAAGCAGCGTGTCACCTCTGCCTCAACCTGTTGCCTCTTTGAGCTTGTTTCCCTTTTTGCCAGGCAAGCTAATGCCTCCTCTCATAGGGTGTGGTGAAGACTGCCCAAGGCAGCCCCTGAGCATAGAGCCTTGCATGTGGGGGACAGTTGAGCCCCGTTCCCAGCCACATGGGGGTCTATTGCCAGCACACACAAGAGGGTGCTCGTCTTGCCAGGAAGCATGGGCACATGCAGTGACCCCAGCCCAGGCTCGGGCAGTTCAGGCCTGCCTTGGGACTTGCTGTAATCACCTGTTGAATGGAAATGATTGTACCCTTTACAGCCCAAATGTGCAAGGTGTGTATCACTTCTAAGAGCTGATAAATTGTATCTGTTGCCTAAAACATACTGTGTAAAGGTTCTTGAGGTTCTGCTGGATACTGTTGCTCACAGGGGTGTTGTTCAGCCACCTCAGGGGTCAGTGGAGCCCACAGTTGCACCCAGCTCTAGGGCATGGCAGGCCTTTGGGTCTCTGGTGGACAGGATTTGCCTGGTTGGAGATAGGCCACCGGTCCCCACATGTCCCAGAGCCCAGCCCTCCTGTGAAAAGCTCGTGATTGCAGAGTTTAGTTTGCCACCTCCTCCTGCTCACTTTTCTCTCCTTTCCTTGCAGATGTTCCCCCTGCCTGTGGCCAATGGGAAGGGCCGGCCCACCTCCTTGGCCGGCACACAGTTTGGAAGTTCAGGTAGGACCACAGCTCCCAACTGCTGAATATAGAAGGTCTTTCAAGGATGGAGCGTGGGGCTGGGGGAGGCAATGGAGGTGGGTAAAGCAGGTTGGGCCAGGGCAGCGAGCCTGAGCACCTGGAGGTTCAGCCACTCTCCCTTGGTGGATGGAACCTGTTGATCAGCCCAGCAGACAGTGTGGTGTCTTCTTTTCCTCCTAGCTTGAGCCTTGCAGTTGGGGCTGGGCCCATTTGCAGGTAGGGGTCTTGAGCCTCTGTGTCTCTAGTCTGTCTACAAGAGAGACATTGAGTCAGGGAAGAGGCATGACAGGGAGCCCATAGCTTTCACCAAGACCCCACCCACCTTGTAAGCCCCAGGTGAGGTCCAGCTGCCCAGAATATTTGCATTCAGTTATGTATTAGATGCTTATTATATATAAAGCTCAGCACTAGAGTGATTAACCATCCTGGTTGCCCAGGACTTACAGGGATTTCATGGGATCTGTAACTTTAAGCACTAAAACTGGAGACATCCGGGCAGACCTGAATGAGTCAGTCACCCTGACAGATTCCATGGCAGATGGAGCAGGGTTGAAAGCCAGCAGAGAGGAGGGCTGAGAATGAAATGAGGGTGCAGCTGGGCATGGTGGCTTATACCTGTGATCCCAGCAGTTTTGGAGGCTAATGTGTGAGGATTGCTTGAGATCAGCTTGGACAACATAGGGAGACCACGTCTCTATAAAAAATGTAAAATATTAGCCAGGTATGGTGCCATATCTCTGTAGTCCCAGTAACTTGAGAGGCTGAAGCAGAAGGATCACTTGAGCCCAGGGGTTCAAGCCGCAGTGAGCTATGATTGCACTATTGCCCTCCAGCCTGGACAACAAAGAGAAATGCTGTCTTTTATCTTTTGGGGGGTGAGGGGGCAGAGTCTCGCTTTGTTGCCCTGAGTAGAGTGCTGAGGCGTCATAGCTCACAGCAACCTGAGACTCTGAGGCTCTGAAGTGATCCTCTTGTCTCAGTTTCCCAAATAGCTGGGACTACATGAACCCGCTCCAGTACCCAGCTATTTTTAAAGCTGAAGTATTGCTCTTGCTCAGGCTGGTTTCAGACTCCAGAACTCAGGCAATCTACTAGCTTCAGCCTCCCAGAGTTTAAGGATTATAGGCATAAGCCAACTGAGATACTGTCCTTTTAAAAAAAATGATGTATGTATAGGACTGGGAGGAACATACGGCAGGGCCAGGTTGCAGATAGAAGATGGGTTGCCCCAGAGCCAAGACCATCATGAAGGTCTCCAAAGAGGGGGTGTTTGAGCAGAGACCTGAGGGCAAGAGGAAGGGAGCCCTGAGCACATGAAGGGAAGAGCATGCCAGGAAGCAGGCACAATGTGTGCTAAGGGCCTGAGGCCATGCTGTGCCTGGCTGTTGGAGGCATAGTGAGGAGGCCCATGTGGTCAGAGCGCATCAGTGTAAGGAAAGGGATACAGCAGGTTGCTATGGTCTTTGTGGGCCGTGAGGGAATATCTGCTTTGTTCTAAAGGCAGCAGGGAGCCATGGAGGGTTGTGGGCAGAGATCAGTCTGCCATGCATTCTGGGAAGCCTATTTTGACTGTTGACAGGAACCCCTCAGGGAGACCAAGGAGGGCTCATCCTGATGGTTGTTTTAGGATCTCGAGCACCTGTGACTCTGCCTGGATATCTTGGGACTAGGGCTTCTTAGGCTGTGTTTGTTGTCAATTCTGGGATGGGGGTGGAAAGTTCTGTTTTTCAGTTATCTCCAAAATCCACTAGGGGTGACCCTGGGGTCTGCCTGGAGGAGGAAGGGGTTTTGAGGTGTGGGCCAGGGTGATTCATGTTAGGTACTCCTACTCCAAAGGGAGGACATCATGTTGCTGCCCTACTGGTCTTTCCCTCCGCCTGAGGAAGTGGCCGCAGGGCTGTCCAGAGTGTTCCCAAAGGCCTGGAAATCCCCATGGGCTGCCCACCATCACCCCCCCCCCCGCCCCCCGGAACTGGAAGTCCTGACACTTCCCTGCCTTGGCAGCGGGTCAGGTCTAGAGGCTTCTTGGAGGAGGTGATACAGACACAGCAGCAGTCCACCCTCATCCACTCTGACCTCTGCCCCAGGCTTACAGCAGTGTCTGGTGGGAAGGCTAGGGCATCTTTTCTTACCCTCTCTGCCCTCCTGCCCACTTCTTGCAGCCAAGGCCAGCAGCCCTGAGCACCAAGAACCCTGGCACATGAGCCTGGCCTGGAGAACATTTCTCCTGGGAGGGGCCTGCCTGACTTGCCAATTTCTGGACACCTAGCCAAGCCTGGCAGGAACCCTGATTAGCAGGTGTGTCCAGCCTACAGCTCATAGGCTGCATGCAGGTTATGTGAGGAGATTTTTGTTTATGTGTGGTGGCAGCTATCATGAAAAGTATACCTGGGCTTGGCACCTGTGGCTCAAGTGGCTAAGGCGTCAGCCACATAGACCTAAGGTGGGAGGTTTGAATCTACCCCGGCCCACTAAACAACAATGACGGCTGCAACCAAAAAATAGCCGGGCGTTGTGGTGAGCGCCTGTGGTCCCAGCTACTTGGGAGGCTGAGACAGGAGACTTGCTTGAGCCCAGGAGTTGGAGGTTGCTGTGAGCTGTGATGCCACAGCACTCTACCCAGGGCGACAACTTGAGGCTCTGTCTCAAAAATTAAAAAAAAAAGGAAGAAAGAAAAGTATACCTGGATCTTATTTTTTGGTTCATCAGCTTTTGTTAGTGTTTGTCTATTAATATGTGGCCCAGGACAACTCTTATGGTGTGGTACAGAGAAGCCAAAAGGTTGGACAGCCCCGCAGGCTCCTTTTGCAAATGGATGTTCTGTGGTTTTTGTGTAGCCTTGTGCCCCCAAACACATGAGGCTGAGTTTTGGGGGGCTGCACAGTAAGGCCTGTCATGCTATTTTTTTTTTTTTAAGCTAGTCAAGTGATTTTTTTTTTGTTTTTTAAAAAACATTGATGCTAAGGGTGGCACCTGTGGCTCAAAGGAGTAGGGCACCGGCCCCATATACCGGAGGTGGCAAGTTCAAACCTGGCCCTGGCCAAAAACTGCAAAAAAAAACCCAAAAAAACATTGATGTTAAGAGAGGCATCAGAGACAAACTAATGGGAGACAAGATTCTCTGGTTATCTAGATTGGAAGACATATAAAACAAAAATAGTTTTTCTATTCCCCTCCCCACCTCCCATTTGTTGGAAACTCACAGACACAGATCTCTGAGTGACAACTTGAGTTCTGCAAAAGATGAGAATTCTTTACTATCTTTAATTTCTCCATTGCTTTCTTGGTTTTTGCACCTGTAAATATAGCACATGCTCAGAGTGAAAATTCCACACTTAGGAAAGGCTTGACTCTGTTTTCTTTTTAGAGAGGACTATGGATTAACACAGGTATGTGGGATTATTTCTAGAAGTAGGATATTGCTAGGTCTGTGGATGCGTTTTTATGTTGAAAATATTTCTTGGCTCAGCGCCTATAGCTCAACCGGCTAAGGCGCCAGCTACGTACACCTAAGGTGGCGTGTTCG